CCTTGGGCATTGCAGCGGCTACCCGCGACCGGGGGGTTTGGGGTGGCTACGGAGGCTAGCGAATACCGAGCTCCTGTGCCCAGCCTCCCACCGTCCGCTGCCCCCGGCGGACCCCCGGGCAACGCCGGCTCCTTGTCGGCGGCTGCCCTTTCTCCGTCCGCGACCGCCAGCTTTGTGGCGGCAGCGGACGTCTCGACTGACAGTGGTCAGTCGGCTGCCTCCGGGTATCGCGTCTAAGGGATTTTATTCCTCCTGCATGCTCCTGCTGCTTCTGGATTTACTGGCTTGTTGCTTGATTGCTTGACCCTTAGGTTTTGCTCGGATTACGGATTTACTGGCAGAAGGTAAAAAGTGCCTCAAGCAAAACAAAGCAGGAACAAGCTAAACCTCCAGGCACACAGCGCACAGCGAGAAGCTGCACAATCACACACAAAACACAAGCCCGAAAAGAACCAGCACTGCTGGCAACCAGACGCGGCATCGCTAGCCCAAGCGCGAAGTCGCGCAGACAAGCAGCCGAAGGGTCAAGCAAGCACTTCTCGAGCCAGAGGACAGCTCCTCCTCGGACTTTGTCGAGTCGCCCGAGGGGTCTTCGCCGGAGGTCTCCGACTCCGATGGGGGAAACACGTCGAGTGGCGCCGACGACCGGCGCGGAGCTGGCGAGGCGTCTCCGTCCCTCACTGTGACGTCGGGTGCCTCCGGAGAGCTCGACACCACTGGGGTGCTTGCTGCTGGTCCGAGCTCGCCTGCTTCCTCCCCGGCATCGGTCGGGTCACGCCGGTCCTTGGGCATTGCTGCGGCGTCGCCGCCGTCACGGGCGGCCTTCAATGGATTTACTGGCAGAAGGGAAAAAGTGACTCAAGCAAAACAAAGCAGGCGGCTACCGCTGACTCGGCTACCGCTGACTCGGAGGCTAGCGAGGAGGACTACCTCGAGCGGTACCGTGTTCCTGTGTCCAGCCTCCCTCCGTCCGCTGCCCCCGGCGGACCCCCGGGCAACGCCGGCTCCTTGTCGGCGGCTGCCCTTTCTCCGTCCGCGGCCGCCCGCTTTGTGGCGGCAGCGGACGTCTCGACTGACAGTGGTCAGTCGGCTGCCTCCGGGAATGTATAGGATTTACTGGCAGAAAGTAAAACGGGTATCGCGTCTAAGGGATTTTATTCCTCCTGCATGCTCCTGCTGCTGCTTGTTGCTTGATTGCCTGACCCTTAGGCTATATATAGGATTTACTGGCAGAAGGTAAAAAGTGCCTCAAGCAAAACAAAGCAGGAACAAGCTGAACCGGCAGGTACACAGTCCACAGCGAGAAGCTGCACAGCAGTGCTGGTTCTTTTCGGGCTTGTGTTTTGTGTGTGTTTGTGCAGCTTCTCGCTGTGGACTGTGTACC